AAAAAGTGACGTAGAGAACAGGATTTTAGTTGACTGAGGCACTACGGTTCACTAGTGACAAGACCAGTTCAATCTTACTTCTGCTCTTTCAGTGACAGGAATTGCACTGCTATGATTGGTTAGCCAATAATAATGCTTAACCAATGGTCTTGTATCATATACATTGTAGGTGAGGAAGGAAATCCCCCAAGAGCCCAATGTGATTGGTGGTCCAATCAAAATCATGGCCTTGTATCATTCATATGCACATTCAGTGGAACATTTTCCATGTTCTGGAATCTCATCCTCATTTGACCTGATTATCACAGGTGTTATTGTCACCTTCATCTGACAGTGTATCATATACCTGATCAAAACAAACTTGACAAAGATTTCCTTTATGTCACGCATTTCAAGTAACAATTCCTTTTATCAAATGAAAACATTCTGGTACAATTTCAACAGATTTAAGACCGTACCTAACGATCAATTCCACCCAAGCTCACAACTTCGCTGCTCACACTATATTCCAAAAGTGACAATTCATGGTATCACATTTTTTTATGATGAAAAATATTTTTCCTTTATTAGATCACCAGTCATGGTGTCATAAATATGTGAAAAAGAAAACATCAGGAGAGTGAACAATAAAAGAATCAGAATTAAAAGGACAGAAGATAACAATTGACATTACATTTAAATTTTTGAAGATTGAACTTGACTGGAAAGCAAGATGCCGGAGGAGAGTTGCACAAGTGATAAATGTTAGTGAAGAGATTTTTTAATATAGAACTTACAGTTATATCTAGCCATTTCAACTGTAAAATTATGAGACTTAGCTGCCAATCAAGCACTGAGCTTAAATTCATAAAATCTAGTTTACCAAAGAGGAAAGCTTATCTGAACAATTACCTACAATAAAAATAAAAAAGAGGCACAGAGAAGCTACATTACATTGGTGGGAAAGTGACTGAAGCCAAGATGCCAGGTCAGGACCAATAATATTGCAGATTCTTCTTTGCATTTTATCAAGAATCTCTAAATATATAACATAAGCACTAGACCAGATGTGGTATCAATATTCAATGCATGGGTGAGTGGTAGTAGCCTTACAAAGAGGTAAGATGAAGAATCTGGTGAGAAAAATTGTCTAGCATGACACGGTATACCAACTAGCAGCGGACCTAGTAACTGATTCACTATAATCTTTCCACTTCATGCCAGTGGAAAGGTGGACAGGCCTTCTCACTTGGAAGTTTGTTGTTTTTCTTCATTTTTATTACTTTCATTACAGAACATTGTTGCTATGGAGGGTTATACCAGGTCTTCAATGTTTTTGAGATATGTAACAAAGTATTTTTCACATTAATGATCTTGTGCTTCCAAGCAGGATGTTGCCAAATTTATCACACTGCCTCCACCATCTTGCCATTTACATATAGTGTATCTTGTTGCTTGTCCCTCCTTCGGATAATGTTGTTTACATAGCCTAATGTTCACTTTATTCAGGAGAAAAAGAAGATTCTATTTTTGTCTATATTTCTGAGATGAGATATTGTAATTATTTATGCTGTTTATATTGTTCAGACTGTTGCCCTCATCTTTGTTGCCATATTCACAACATTTCAGCTGTCATTACCGAGACATTAAGTTTATAAGTATCAAACATTCATACACTGATGTCTTCAAGGACACATGGCCAAGTGGATAAAAGCTTTCGTTGAAGTAATCCAGTGACTTAACCAAAGAGTTGTGAGTTCAACACTTGGTCAAACTTGGCGAGTTGAGTTAAAGGGAAATAACTGAAATTTCTGGAAGAAGACATTAGACGTGGAATTAGAACAATCTATACCAGTGGATAAAATAGAAGGTTCGGTTTGAAATTTCAAGGCTGGTGTGTACAACAGCTGAAACATTGTGAATATGAATAATCTCAACAATGTAAATAGTGTGATTCTATTTATTTACATTTGGACTAATATCCTTGTCCTTTTTGGCTATTGTGCTCTCCATCATTCTTCAGCTGTTTGTTGATCCACATATCTGTCAGGGAATTTTGAACTGAATGCTTTATTTAATCTGTGAGCATAGATTGTTCTCATTCCACTGTTCGTGTATGGATCTATCACATCTTGTTATCTTTTTAGTATTGCTCAGTTATTGCTTGTCCTGAGTACAGACATAGTCATCCTAGTACAGAAATAAAAATCATATAGAGGCCATTAATAAATAAAGAAAAGGAAATGAGAACAACATTCAGCAACAACAATAAGGAAAGAGAAGTAGTGGTGAAGGAGGTCAAGTGTGACAGCAACAGGCAGGCAATAATGACATTAAGATTAAAGATCCAATTTCTAGGTTCAGGATTGTCTGATGGGACAGTGGATTAAAACATTGGTTTGGGAATTGATTGACATAGTTATTGTAAATTCAATCCCATGAATTACAGACTCCGACTTAATAGGAAACCTCAGCAATACTAAAAAGAACAATTTAATGAAGATACCCTGAACTGACAGACACCTGAATAGGGTCAGATAGTAAAACATCTGAAATATTATGACAACAAAGATATGGACATTAATCCAAATGTAAATGTTGAGATGTAGTCCTTCCTTTACATGGATTAAAGCTATCTGTTGTTTGTGTTACTGTAGTCTTTCTGTTGGCTTATACTTGGTAGGAAATTCTACCTTTCTTGTAATAATAAGTCTTGACTATTTCACCTTTACCATGCTAATTTCTTACTAGAATTGTTTCCCCTACCACTGCATTTTTTAGGGTGCAAAAACATAAACACTTATTGTTTTAAAATTGTTATAACTTTCTTTGTATTGTGTATAGATTTTATTTTTTGTATACTAATAAAAGAATGGATGAGTAATATTTTGATGTAATGCATTATATTTTGCATGCATGTTTTGACATTGAAAACAAAACAATTGAAACACAAAATAAAAAACAAAATATAAAAAAAACAAAATACAATAACAATTTAACATATTTTAACTTTTATTACTTCTTGTTTAGTTCTTGGGGCAGTAAGAAGCAAAATGGCTAAGAAGGCTTTCATTTTGTCAAAAAAGTGACGTGCTTCCTTGTGTTTACATATGAGAAAACATCAGCATTTGTTTGCTCTTTCTTTCACCTGATTAGCATATTTATTTATCTTGTTGACAAATAAAGTTATTATTTTGTCATTTATGAATAGATGAAATAATTCACCTTTAGATAGGCTATCAGGTATATCAATGGTTGCCAGTAGCTTCCATAAAATTAGTCAGCCATGGATGATAGTAGCTGCTAGTGGACATCATAGTTTTTCTCCACAGAGTGATATGTGGTTATCATCTTTGATCACTTCACCATTAACATCCACTTGAGTAAAGCCTTAAAAATCATCATCAGAGTCCAAATCAATGAAAAACTTCTAAATAAAGGCTTCATTGGCTATTGATACAGCCATTTTTGTTTACAAAAATTCGCAAAAAAATTAATGTGAGTTTGACTGATGTTACGCCTCATGTAGAGTCTAGAAAATTCAAAATGGCATCAGAAAATGGAAGTTTAGTCTCATTCTGAAACAGTAGTAGACGATTTCCTGCTTACATAATAATAAATATAACAGTTGACAAGTGTTCATTTATAGCAACCATCTCAAGGTGACATAATGTGCCTAGAGCAACAAAGGGAAAGAATTCAGCAGCGACAATTTTCGTCTCCAGCATGGTAAAGGTTAATGTATTCTTGGCAGTTGATGAGGTTTTCTTTCCTTGTTACTTGCCATAACTGAACATAAACACGTCACACAACAAATTGGCCTTTCTGAATATCTTGCAGATTTTCTTGCCATAACTGTGGCATTCAACATGTCATCATGATGTAAGGCTGGCTTATTTAACTCTGACATGCACAATTGTTGCAAGATGGAGGCAGCTGTTCTTGCTACAATATGCAGGTCATGTTGTTTTGGCGTATCAATGTATTCATTTTTTTGTCTAATTTTTTTGTCGGATTTATGGTTTTTTTAATATTGTTTTTGTAGTCTAAACGTTTAGTGTTTTGGCCTTTTTGTCCTTTTATTCATTGTCACTCATATTTATTTAATATCTTCATTTATAATAGACACATATATCCAGAGAATTTAAAACCATTATTTGGTTACTTATTTTAGTGCATTATTTTACTTATAACTATTGCCACATGACACAAATAGTAGGTACATTATTTAAATAAATTAGCTGTAAATAATCAATAGTACTTTTCTTTTTTATAGCTATCTGTCTCTTATTGTCGAATGCTGGATAATCTCATAGATGATGAAGAGACTTGAAGCAACAGAAATGTAGTTCTACAGAAGGATGCTGAGAATACCATGACTACATGTAAGCAACAATAGAAAATGGAAACAAAATGACACTTAACATCAGAAAGTGACTTAAAATTTCTAGGGCACATAATGAAGATGGGGGCTTGGAAAATTTGATACTCACAGGTCATATTGAAGACAAAAGGGAGAGAGAAAATCACCATGTAACCTACCTAAAGAGCTTGTGTAAATGGATGGCAGAACAGGGTTTAAGAAAGTTAGTGAAAAGACAAAACTTACTAAATGCTATGAAGGTCAGGAAATTGTGAAGAGCCATGATTGCCAATGTCCCATGGATGAAGAAGATTGTTTTTACATTTATATAAGTAGCAAAGTAATCGTTCTAAGTAATGTGGTTAATCAAAATAAGTGTTGCATAATTTGCTGCATTTATAATGCTGCATAAATACACACATTTTTTTATTTTGAGCAAATTGGGTCACTTTAATCTTCTGAAACACTCAAGGAAAAAAAAAATGTTTGTTGCATTTTCCCTTTTTGTTGACTGATCATATTTTTTGTTTTCCCTTATTACTTTTTAAAAATTGTTCATCATTCTATCCGAAATGTCTAACTTCAAATATTGACTGATATTTCCACATTTGTTGAGTCAATTATAAACAAAAGTAAAACTTTTTTTTTTTTTTGTCAGGTTTTTTGCACAGTGTCTTTTGATTCCCTTGATTCTTCAATGAGAGTTGACCCCATCTCTATTTTGACTGGGTAAGTCACCATTTATTTTCAACAATGTCAAATCTTCCTCACTCTTTATATTTCTTTGTCATTTTTTTCAAGTGGGTGAAACCCTTTATTGAAAATTTCTTCTCTATTGCATACAATAGCTTTAATGTCAGTAATTTTTTTCATTTTCTTTCCTCACCATTGATAGACTTTTTCTTTCTGAGCTTCAGTACATTTTTATAATAAAATTATTTCCAATCCATTTCTCTAGTAAAATCATAAGCAATACAGTTACATTATATGAATAGTAGCCATTACTTATTAGTAATGCTTGCCTTAATTTCTGACCATTGACAATGCTTTCCTTATTTTCAATGCACAGCAAACTGAGTGCCAAAAAAGTACAAAATTGCAAAATTTATTAATTCCTTAAATTCCATTTTTAACTGAATATTATAATTGTTCATTCTTTTTCATTCATTACACTGTTAATAACTTCTTATCCACAGTTCTAATATTCACTGCTGAGTAATTTCATGTCAAATCAACAAGTGTCTAATCATTGGCAACACAGATTTTTTTCAAATTTGGCACACTTATAGAGCTTCATGATAGGAATTGAATGATACATATTTTATTTCTCTAGGTCAAAGGGTTCCTGAAATATGACCCTTTGACTCTTGCCAAAAAGGTGAATTTTGGAAAATAGTCACAAAGAATAAATATCAATATCTCGGTTGTTATTTTTTTCCACCTACAAAGCTAAATTATATACCATTTTAAAGTGCTTAAAGGTGATCTATTTATTTTTTGTCTAAAGGTCAAATGAGATAATTTGACCTTGATCATAACCTTTAATTTCTCAAAAAACGTATCTTCAATTTTTTTTCAAATTTGACAACAAATTTTTCTTCTTTATGGCAAGATATGTACAAAATTTTGTGATGGACTTTTGATTGTGGTTTAAGTTACAAGGGTTTTACTGAGTTGGGTGAAATTCAAAATGGCGGATTTGCACATATGTAACTATATGCTAACATTTACATATCTCCCCAATATATATATATATATATATATATATATATATATATATATATATATCTTCATAAAGCTCTTTGCTGATTTTATTCACACAATAACTATGATCATAAAATCAACAGAATTTTTATTATTTGTGGTTAAATGTTGACAAATTTGCTGGAAAATAAACAACCTTGTTTTTGGTTTTTACATTTTTATTATACAGCAAATAGATTTTTATTTAAAAAAGTGTCATGAATTAATGTTAAGATTGCATAAAATATTATGAAAATATGCAACAGATGATGTTAATGGATAACAATTTTTGTTGACATGCTATGCTAAATGAACAAAACAATCAAATTTTCAGTTTTTTTTATATATATTTAAAAAAATTACATTTTGATCTGAAAAAGTGATACATTGAAATGAATATTTAAAAAAAATATTCTTAAAACATTTACTAAGAGATTAACAAGCAAACTCATTATCAAATAAAATTTACAACGTTATCTGAGTTTTTCTAAAAGTACTTCAATATCAACATTTACAAGAACTTATGTTTTTTTCTGGAATACATGTTTAAATAAAAAAATAAAAGTTTGGATATGCAAACCACTTATGTTTTCAATCAAATTTTTTGTGATGACTGCAATTCCCTTGATTATTATGTGTGGTGTGCAGTTGAGCAAGAGATGAACAAAACTCCTTGTAATACCAAAGATAAACTGAAGGCAAGGATTATGGCAGCAAGAGTTGCAGGGGATTCTGAAGTCTTCTTGAGGGTGTGTTTGAAGCCAATGGCAATTTTAATTGAATTTTTGTGTAATTTTGGTAAATATATCTGTTAAAATGAGATGTCAATGTCTTTTTAATTTTTGTGTAATTTTGATTACAATTTATCCATTGCACACACACACACACACACACACACACACACATATATATATATACACACACACACACACATATATATATATATATATATACACACACACACACACACACATATTCTCTTATGTATTCTCTTGATGTTTATTTTTACAAATGTATACATGTACATATATATTTTGATATTGTGTGATGAAACAATAAAATTCTATTGATTATCTTGGCTAGCAAAATGCAAGGAACTATTTGCCAGTTGATCAAATAATACAGATGCTCAGGTCAGTAGAACAGACACAAAAATAAAATGGCTGCCTTCAACTCAATATTTTCCTGCTGTGATTCTCCATTTTGGTTGGATTAATCTATTTTGTAGTCTAACCAATCGAGTTATTCTTTACTTTCGACTTGCTCTGTAGAATGAGTAGTGTTTGAAGAACACCATCTGATAAATTAGATTCACTTGTTGTGAATTGCCTAGCGTACACAGGTCTACGTGTGTGTAATAAAAGGAAAAGTTAATTGTATACCTGACATATATCTTAATATACACCTTTGTGTTTGTCATATATATTCTCCTTAGTTGATTTCATTATCACTATAAAGTACATACTGTGTTATATATAAATTATTATATACTTTCTTAAGTTCATATTCATTCGTTAGATCAAAAATTCTGTATGAGCGTGAATGTCACTTTGTCTCTCCTGCGTGCGTGTGTGTGAACACTGAGGTCAACACCGAGTGGCAACAGTCTGTTTTATGCTTGAATGCAATCCTCAGGCCATGCTGGTTGTGTGGTGGCTCAACTATTTATGCTGATCAATGAGACATTATGAGTAGCAAGGTCAGGTTTATTCTGGTTTATTGCATTATCCTAACTATTATTGGGTAGGTTGCAGTGGTTATATTCAAATTCTTCTAAAGGTTATTATGAAATAAATAATAATATAATACAATAAACTGGAAATAGTTGACCTTGCTAAACAAAATTACACAAAAATATCTTGAAATACTAAAAAGTAAATTTATTTGATAAAATCGCCATTATAATTCTTGCCTTCAGTTCATCTTTGGTGTTACAAAGAGTTTTGTTGGTTTTCTGCTTGACTGAGTCCCACAGATAATAATCAAGGGGGTTACAGTCTGAGAAGTTTGGTGGCCAGATATAAGGGGCTATATGGTTGCAAAAATTCTCTGATAGTCATGACTGCGTTCTCCTGCTTGTATGGCATGGCACAGAGTCCTGTTGCCAGACATAGGATCTTCCAGCAGCCACCCTTTTGATCCAGGGTAGTGCAACCTCCTCAAGGCACTTGATGTAGGCCTCTGTGTTTAGTCTGAGGCCCTGTGGGAAGATGAATGGAGGCATAGTTTTGCCACCACTAGTGATCATTCCAAACACCTTTGTAATCACCATTAGACTCATCCATCTATTTTTGAATCTTTTGCACCCAAACACTCAAATATTTTATTGGAGCTTTTGGCATGAATGCCAAGCAGTACAGCATACTGTTTCCAAATTTCTGGCTGAGTGAATTGTATCATGGTGCTCTTTTTCTCACAGACAGTGCATAACCGACCCTATTATACTGTGCAGTTGACCAAAACCAACAACATGCATGCAAGAAATTAAAAATATAAAATGGTGACAATTTACCCATTGTACTAGTATATAAGTTAGACAAGGTACTGCAATTTATCTTTTTATTCAATTTTTCTTGTGTTCTTATAAGTGTTTTCTTTTCTGTACATAAAATGTGTTAAAACTGTTCAAATGTCCTATATATTGGATCACTTTCAGCTATTCTTTTTGCCATTATCAAAGATTTTTTTTTATTTTTAACTGATTATGTAGATTTTATTTATATGTGCATCTATATTGATGGTAATGTCTTTTTTATTTATTTTTCAAACATGTTTAGCACATTGTGGGTGTGTTTATAGTTGATATTATTGAGTATTGGTTTTTTCAGTATTTTTTATGTCCAGAAAAGAAACACTATAAGAACACAAGAAAAACAAAAATGAATCAAAAGCTTAATTGCAGTATCTTGTCAGTCATCTTTAATAAAACTTATGTAAAAGAGGGATGGCTGCCCAAATAATATATATATATATAAAATTGATTATTTACCAAAAACCACCTGATGAGACCATAAAGTTGAAACCTGGGTCATGTTAATAGTGAAATTTTCAATCTTTTATATCACTATTATCTGCTTTTTACATTCAATTTTTTAGAATTATGTATTGAGCACTTTTTAAAAATATCTGTCATTTGGTCTGACTCTGGTATGCCCAAATAATTTTATATTCTTATATGTATATGTGTATATATATATATATATATATATATATATATATATATATATATATATATATATATATATATAGACAGTGTTGTGCAAAAGTAAATGAACCCCTGAGATAATATTTAAAATAATTCTCTTTTTTTTCCATATAGCCAACACATCCTAATTAAGCTATATATTCATTAAGGAAAACCTTTATTAAATGAATTACAACCACAATCAAAGATTTTTATCAAGCTAGAATAAAAATATTAATTAAAAATTAAGATGCGCAAAAGTAAGTGAACCCATACATTTACACTCTGTATTTTTGTTTTACATGGATGCCAGTAGAAATATTTTTTTTTATTTCATGCGTAAAAATCAAAATGATACCTGTTAAATTTTTTTGTAAGCTGTCTATATTGCAGTCAAGCAACATAACTCATTGTGTATGCAAAAGTATGTAGTTAGAGATTAAATAAAAAAATATATATGCAATGATTAAAAGAACTTCCTGAAGCTTTAAATATCACATATTTGAAACCTATAATGATGGGGGAGGCTACAAAAATCTATCAAAATGATTTTGCATGTACTTCTCCACTGTGCAACAAATTACAAATTATTTATAAAAATGGAAGGCCTTTGGTATGATGTCATCACAATTAAGAAGTGGCTGTTTGCAAAAAATAACAAAAAGAGCAATTAAACCTCTAGATTTGCAAGCCCAGGCAAATCCTGATATCACCTTTGCTGTTCTCCAATGCTCACTGGCCAGTGTTGGAATCAATATGCATTCATCTAGAGTGTGATAAAATCTGAACAATGCTGATCTTC